TAGGAATGAACATCTAGACGGACACCTTGACAAACGAGGTGGGCCAAAACCTGCTCTGATACCATAATAGAATTTAGGATGTAGTGTGGATAACTGAATTGGGCAACAAGACACTTGGGCTGAACTACATTAAAAGATTGAATCCAATCGATTAGTTAGTTCAACTCAACAGCTTATATACCGATTATTTTACTCTTGGACTTCTGATGTGGGATGCACTCTAACAAGACGTTTAAGATCGATTGATTCTGGGAGAGACTTGACAATTGTGGAATAATTTGGATATACAAGTCGAAATACAAGTCGGGTTTAGTTTCATTAATCCAATTGTCAAATACAGGCGAGTGATCAATAACATTGATGTTGTTTTTCGAGCCTGCAACACTTAAAAGAATCATGTAAAAACCACAAGTCATTTGAATCCATTGCATCGATCCGAGCATAACAATAGGCTTAGAATAATCACCTTGGGAGAACTAACCATGCCACATAGTGGGACGATTTTTTCATTCCCAATGCATAAAATCAATGCCCCCAAGCATGCCGACAAAGCCGTGTAACAGCTCAATGCTGCTCGCTGTTAGCTTACGTAAACACCTCTTATGAAATAGTCAAATAATAGCTTTATAAACATATGACCTGATGTTTTGAGCATATATTTTCAAGTATTTATCAAACATATCACTAGCACGCGGTTCCGTACGCCATCTGACAAAGTGCGGCAATGCACTTTTGTGTGCTGCTAAGACCGCACCAGCCTCTCGCATCAACCCGTTGGGTGAACCAAGACATCTCGCATTCAATATTGGCAAGTATGCATTAAAAAAGAACGGCTCATCCGAAAATGATTACTAAAATCCTCCAGTATTTAAACACACATTGTATTGAAGTAGTCGTTGAGTAATGCTTCATGTGTAGCCGCCCGATCACGATTTAAAGCTCACATCGGGTCGAGCGCAAAGGACAATTCTGCTTCCTCTTGTGGTGCTTGTTGCCACCATTTGTAATAGCCTACCGAGAAAGAACGAAACATGAGAGCTCTTCTTTCATCGTCAAATGAAGATTAACCTATTTTTGGGGTGCTTTGTAGAGAGAATTGAGAATATGAATTTTTTGGATGAGTTATAAAGAGAATGAAAATATGTCATGTGTGCGTGTGTATTTTGAAAAATAAGGGGGAATTTATAGTTGAAAAATTAATTTTTTTAATCGACCAACGACCATAATTTAGACTATTGGGGTGGGGGTGGGGAAGGGAAGCTGGCAATGGCTCTTCTTCGTGTTAAACGTTTAACGTGTTGCTGATGACGCCCCAAATATGAGGCAGCGCAGAGGGCACTGTTTAACGCACTAACGACGTTAAACACTGGATGAAGCCCGAGGCGTTACTAGTATTTCCAGTGCATGCCCTCAGATCTAGATCAAGTTAGAAATAGGGTTGACCATGTTACGGTATTTAGCTCGTTCTGATTTCGTACTAAATATTTCAATTTCATATGGGATTTTACGTCTTAGTGATCTCGATTCTAAAATATTTATTCGGTATGACAAAAGTTGGTCACCTATCGGTTTTGGTATAAATCGAGATGGATACATACTAATCTAATTTACATTTTATAATTTGGAGTAATAAAAATCTTTATTTTTGAAAAATCAATAGTACATTTATATAAAGAAACATAAAAAATTGAGAAATGAATAATGAAAGACAAGTAGTGCTTATGAAAATTAGTTTATATTTTACAAACTAAAGATAACGAGTAATAACAAAATAATACTCTTATTTTAGATGCTTCTTAACATTTTAAAATTTATGTACAACAAATTAACACTCAATTAAATGTACAATTTATTACAAAAAATAAAACTTGAACTGAATTTTCAAAATAAACATTTTATTTAATAAGAAATATATATAAAAGGTAGACCTGGCAAAACAGAACCGGAACCGATTACCCGAACCGAAATATCTGAAACCGAAACCGGAATGATCCGAAAAATGAAGATCCGATCTATAACTGAAAACCCGAAATGATCCGAACCGAACCGAAACCGAACTAAATAATTCAAATCCGATTTAAATCCGAAACCGATTAGATCCGAAACCGATAATATCCGAATCGATTAAACCCGAAACCGATTAGATCCGGATCCGATAATACCCGAAACAGATAAAATCCGAAACCGATTAGATCTGAAACCGATAATATCCGAACTCGATTAGAACTAAAATCGATAAATTCAGAACTATGTTTACCTTTCAATAAGCATATTATATTTTTAAATTTTTACTTTTATTTTACCATTTGAACTAGTTACATTACTTGCTCATTCCCTCATAAAATGGATTATCTTCTTGAAAAAAAGTACAAATTTTTATGCCTTAAATTTATTATATGTAGAAATTAAAGATAAGTTATACATATAAATGATAACACACAAACAAATAAAATTTCCGTAATTTTTAAATAGTGAAGTGTGATATTCTTTTTGGGACGAAAGGAATATATATATGATGAATTGTATGGAATAATTAGATTTTATCCTAATTTCATCTCATTACAATAAATTTTATTGGTTTGAGAATTAATTTGATTAGTTTCAAACCAATTCACTCAATATTAGTCAATAAAATTAAATGTTAGTGTTAGCATTTTGAAAAGACTCTCTAGCGGCAGCCTTTACTGTTATCATTTTCAAATTTGATCTACACCATTACATTTAGNTAAAATTAATTATATTTGACTATATTAAATTTAATTTTCTCTATTTTCAACCAAATATACTCAACAATTTACAAATTTTGCACTCAATTGAATAAAATTCACTTAATTTCACCCAATTTTACTCAATTTTTACCAAATTCGATTCAAATGGAACATAAGACTATTTGAATTTATCTTTTATCCTTTCATTTATATACATAAGTATATTAGTAGATGTGAGAAAATTTTTATATTTCAAAACTAAATTTTAAAATCAATTTAATTATATTAAATTTATATCATAATTAAATATATATGTTTTCATACTTTGTAGTCCAACTTTGTAAAATATGACTAAAAAGTCAAAAGGGGAAAATTAGAAAATAGTATATATCCAAAATATATTTGATCCGAAACCGAAATATATCCGAACCTAACTAGACCCGAAACCGAAATATATCCGACTCAAATTGTATCCGAACCGAAATCTATCCGAACCGATTTATAACCGAACCGTATCTGAACCGACTCGAAACCGAACCGAACTGAAAAATGTATAGAACCGAAATCAAATCCGAACCGAAATTTAACCGATCCGAATCGAACCGAACCGATTATAACATATAACCGAAAGATATCCGAACCGAAAAAATCCAACCCGAAACCGATCCGGTTGATCCGATTGCCACCTCTAATAAAAGGAGTATTTTATTTAAAATATTAGTATATATGTTCGGTTCAATATGGTTTGATTTTTTACAGTATTTTTTCAGATTGATTTTTTTTGGTTTGATTTAAATTTTTTGGGTTATTTTTTCGAGAATTTTTGGAATGGGTTCGGTACTTGCTCACCTATAATTAGAAAGAATTATACCACCTTTGTCCTAAAACTTCTTTCTTGTTTAATTTTTTTGTCAAATTGCTACACATTTTTATCATTAATGGGTACTTCATCCGTCCGAAGGTTGTACCCCAGAAAAGGACAAAAGGTTTCTCTCTAATTTGCATCACTTTCAAGTGCACAAGTACACTTTTCTTAGAGTATGTGTAATGACAAGCAGAAAATGGAATGCCACATGGTGAAGTGGAATATTTTAACCAATCAAAATCAGTCTAGTCAGCGTATGTCAAATGAATGAAGTAGAATGCCTTACAATGGCAAGTAATTATTTTTGTTAGCTTTTACACTTTTTAACCATATTTTAAATATTAAAAATTATTTTACTTTTATACTCCCTCCGTCCCAAAAAGATTGGTACATATTGACTTTTTGGGAAATTAAGGGAGGGATATTTTGGTGTTGACTTTCCAAAAATACCTTTGATGTGATGTATAAAAGTAGGATGTGATGGGTAAATTATTAGAAAAAAGGTATGATGTGATAGGTAGGGTATGAAAAAGTAAGGGGTAAAAGTGGTTTTTTAATAGAAATGTAACGGACTTTACGGGACACAGTTTTTTCGAAACGTGTCGGACTTTTTGGGACGGAGGGAGTATTTTTTTACAAAAATAGATGTACACCTATTTTAAAAAAATCTTCTTTTTTATAAAAAAAATAAAAAAATTAAAAAAATTAAAAAAAAGAAATCTGACACGTGCATGGAAAAAAAAGTACTCCGTAAAAGGTAAAAGAAAGAGATGTGCGCGCCTCGCGGAAGCCTCATATATCGTGGAAGAATTGTAATCCCACGGGAGGCATATGAGTTTTTGTCCTACGTGTCATGGCATGGGAAGCAGATGGAATGTTGCTGCGCATGCTCTTAATCTCCGTGTCAATTCAAAAATGGAATTTTTCAATACGGCGAAGAGAGTATAATTTTAAATAAATAAGCATTTTAAAAATTTAATACTATATCAAAGATATATGTTAAAATTAACCAATTATATTGGATTCATATTATAACTAAATGTTCCCTCCGTCCATAAAGATCTTCCTTCTTTCCTTTTTTCTTCTGTCCTAAGAAGAACTTCAATTTCCTTTTTAAGAAAAGAATGTGTGGATCAAAAAAATTCTCTCTTACCAAATTGTAACCACACTTTTTTTTTAACATTTTTCTTAATTTCTGTGAAATACAAATGTAAAAGATCTATACGGGACGGCGGGAGTATAATTTTTTCTTGATTTGTGGTAAATGTTTGTAAAAGTTGACAAGATTTTTTTGGGAGGGAGGAGGAAGTATATTGGTTGGTATGCATTGAATGTTATATGTGTTTAAATTCAAAATAAAATAAATGAGAGGACCAAATCCCTTGCGTATTTAGTAGAGGATCTGTCAATAACATATATTGTCCAAC